CTTTTTCTAAATTCACTGAAAAAGGGACTGTTGTTCCAAAGATTTTGGGAACTGCTAAATGAGTACCATGCGGCATTTGAACTGCTGTACAAAAGTTTAACACACAGAAGACCACACAGCATCTCAACTATGACAGCTGATACTAATTTTAACAAAGTAACACATTCAGTGTTCACGTTTGGGGACCAGATTTTGACAAACTTGCAAAAATGGAAATGAAGAATAGGTCTAACTCTATGGTTTTACATAGGTTAACATTCCATGGTTTCAGGAAGCGTAGGTTCACTCGTGAAGAAAAAAGCCAAATACAGAGAAGCAGATCATAAACCAATTTCACATCACTAAGCTATAATCTTTCCTGAAACAATCCACTCCCTTGATGCAGACAGTTATGTGGTATCTTTATTTTCAGTATCGCCATTCACATCAAATTATCTGAAATCCCAGGTTCATGCAAAAGCCTATAGGTAAGACATTCCAGTTCCTCACCTTCCCTCAATTTCCTCCATAAAGAAATCTGCAGGAGAATTTCAGATTAGAATCCAGAAATATACTTGGGTATAGAGACATGCAGAAGTGTTTATTAGACTAAAGTTCTGACACAGCAATCCATTTTTAAATAGACAATATAATGATTCTAGCATTTCATTCACTGACTAGCGTATCCTAGATCCTCTCCTACTACACTCTGCTCTCTTCTTGTTCATGAACATAAAACCAGGTATGCACACTAACTAACCTATTGTTCATTCTAGGCAATGTCACAGCTCCTGCTTTTTACCTCAGATGATGATACTCCTTTAAGGTGTCTCTCATATTTTTCCATTATAACAAGCAAATGCAGAGTTCACTTTGAACAAGTAAACACGTTCAGCCAACGGCTTTAAGGAGTTGTTAGTGTATGCCCAAGTTGACGCACAGCTGACCACAAAGTTTCACATGCTCTGGGAATTGAAAGACTGCTGAGGACTGAAGCTGCCAACTTGATGACTGTGATCCAAATGATGGAGTCTCATTCCTGCTGAAGATGGCATCTGTTCACCTGTTCCATTTTATTACCAAGATGGAATTTCTCATCATGTAAAGAAGTACTGGCAATATATTTGCTAATTCTGAATTTCTTGCATTACAACTCTGAATGTAAGACAGGATTTTCCATAATACTATTGAAGCAGATTAAAAACATTTATACTGGGACTTCTACTATGGCCTGATGAAGCTGAGTTCTCTTCCTTCAGCCTATATGAGAATTCCATTTCTAACAAAATTTTCTTTCGATCATTATTGCAGAGCAACCTAGAACTTTTATTCTATTTTATGACATACCAATTCCAGGAAATGTAAAACACAGGCATTTTTCAACCTTCCTCAAACAGTTTCACCAGATAACCTAGTATTTGAACTCCAAGATTGAGATAAAACACAGACATCTTTTGAGCATCTCCATATACCATCTATACCAAAACACATTTGTCAATCCCTCTATTAGCAGAATGGTTTACATATATGAAAATTATAGTAGCAGATGTAAAACTTGCCCATAAACACAAACAGAATCAGAGTCCAAATGAGCTTTAACATTCAGAAGGCCTTGGGAGATGACACCTGTTCACAGCATTGAAATCCTTTGCATACACTATGTTGTAATTCCCTTTGGAAGGACTGGCAGAGAACACAAACAAAAGCTTAAGTTCCAGTGCTAAAACTGCCAAATTTAGGAAGTCTTCACAAAGTATTTCTGAAAGTTAAAATTTCTGTGTAACCGTACTGCAACTGGTTGTGATCTAAGTACCTACCAGGTGAAATTCATGTCCCTGGTGGAAAGACTCTGATATGAACAAGGCACTGATTCTCATTTTTGTGCAGTCAGAAACCAAGCTTTACTGTAGCACCATTTTTTGTAGACCACCAGTCACAATACCAAGATCACTGCTGAGTCTGCAAGACTTCAGAGCACACATTTGCTTAAGTGCATTCTCCAAAACTAGCTCTGTTTTTAAAACTTTTCTCAGCATTTCTCCTTACACTCACAGACAGTTACACTTATCTCTAAGGTGACCTGAACAGCAACATAAAATAGAGGAAGGGCTCTCTCACTGTATGCACACACATGCCAGAGTAACACATGGTCCTTCGACAGAACCACTGAAACAAAACAGCATCAGATGCAAGTGTGTGATCTCAAGGGTTCTTGGTCAACTTTTTTCCTTTCACACCCTTCTGATCCCAAATTCAACCAAATCTTAAAATACACCTACCACACAGACACTATCTGTAGGCTGATAGCCACCACAGACTCACACATGCAATATCCAAGAAAAACCAGTAACTGCTGGAGAACTGGGGGTTGCTGGAATTACTCTTCCCACACTGGCTCTGATGACCACCGAGGCACCCACTACTGTTAACACTGGCTTTTCACCCCTCACAGACCATCAGTGCTTGTTCCTCACTTGCCTGATGAAAGCAAAGCATGGAGTGCAGGTCTGTGGCAACAGCTTTTCTCACTCACTCGCAGCTGGTGTGGAGCCAACAGCTGCAGTACTTTCGAATTAAACATTGCTATCACTGTGGTCAGCCCAGTGCAACACAGTATACCCAAAATCATTTATTTTATTCAACCAGCCATGTAAATGCTTTATTACTAATAAGTTCTCAGATCAGACTGAACAGAGGAAAAATAATGAAGAGGAAAACAAGGAAACTGCCAAGGCTTTTCTCTGATTGAAACAATTTCTGAAACAACACATCTGTTAAGGGAACCACATTCGTCTTGTTTGTGATGCACTGGCTCTACTTTTAAGTTTCACTGACACCAATATCTTTTCCATGTGAATGGCATAAGAGTCAACGTGCAAAGGCAGTTTCTCATTTTGTAAATGTCCTGTATTGCTTCATAAGCCGGTTACATGGAGCTGACAAAGACAATTAAGTTTCCTTAAAGAACGTGAAGTTATTCCACATGTGGATCAAACCAACTTTTATGTTTTTAAATAAAATGAAACAAACAGAACCAAGGTCAAAAGAGTTAGCATGAAGTAGACTCATGACAGGAGCACCTATTCAGACTTTGGTGCTGTATTTGAATCCCTATCCTGAACTCTGCAGGAGGGTTTCAGACACAGTCTTTCACCACGCAGGAGAATGCTGTCACTGCTCAACTGTCCTACAGGCCTGCCTTGTCAACACCATTAAGGTAAGTTTCTAGAGAGGTGGGAGGAGGGGAATTCACCCACTGTGATTCAGACCTATATAGCAATTTATACATAAAGTTTACGTACCTGACTATCACCCCCTCATGTGAGGAAAAGTAAAGAAATATCTCCTCAGTATCAGGAATATGGGAATAGCTCTATGCAAGATCCCCAAATGAAGTAATGTGACAATTAACAAGAATTAAGCCTCAGTTACACAATGAGCTTGGTCTGACCATTCAATACAAAAAATTTTGGCAACTCCAGTCTATGTTTTTATATATACTCAATACATTTTGCTTACATTTTCATGTGAACTGTAAGGCTAGCTTCTTGGTATCCATTAACTCCAAGCTTTCATTGTTCTGCCAAACATGTCCTTGGGAGGTCATCAAATCCTGGGTCACCAGAGACCAAGAACAGAAAAGAGGATAATATAATCCACATCTGGGAAAAAGGCCAAACCCAGCTTGTACTGATGCTCCAGCACTTGATTCTGGAAGGAAATGTACATCTTTTTGTTCTACTTAGCAGGATACCAGCTGTTTCAAGTTGCATCAAGAAGCGAAAATGGGTCTGGGACAGAAAAAACCATAAGGGATTAAAAAAAACAATGAAACAAACCCAACAAACCAAGGAAGCCTAAGCAAGAAGGCTCTGAAATAAAATACTTCAATAAAAATCTTCATTACTGATGCAAGAAGTTGTCCATGTTAATAACAATTGAGCTGCTGTCAAGAGAAATCTCCACCAAATGGAGCTGATTACACTTCAATTAAGATAAAAATCATTCATCGAAACCCTGCAAAGGAGCTGACACTTTGCATTAGCACTACTGCTGAAATGCTTTCCTTTGATGTGTTTTTATACCTGATCCTGCTGGAATCTGAGCATTTTTCAAGATGTCACGAATGTCCCCATCCTCAGGGGAGCCCTCCACGTGACCCTCAGCCTCTAGACACCTGCAGAAATGCAGCTCCAGTGATAAATACAAGTCCTTAAGGACAAAGAGCGCAGCCGCCTTCTCTCTGCAGCAGCACACATAAAGGAAACCTGCAATGAATTTAGTTCCTTCCAAGCATACAAACAATACATACAGGCGCAAAGTTTTGCAGTGTTTGGGTTTAGTGCAGTGGTGCAGCTGTGCGATGCACCCACATAGCATAAACATGCTACAGACTATGACACAAGGGGCAAGTTTTCTTCATAATGATGGCCTTTATGAAGGTAACATCAATGAGAAGTTACTAACATGAAAAATACGAAGGCATTGTGTTCACAAATCAACATCTATACCTTCCAGACCTTTAGAACCCTTAAAATACTATTTTCACTTTTACTCCCAAAATTACTCTCTAGTAAGACACATCAGAAATTCATTTCAAAGCTACCACCCAAGGATTAAAACTACTTCTCAAAACTGTTTTCTCCTTTCCCAGTCTTAGAAAGAAAAACCTAAGATACAGTAAATTAGTAGATCTAGAAACTAGAATTTAAGAAAAAAAGATTGCACAGTCTCACTGCTTCCCACCTTCCTCTTCCCTCTGCAACTCAAGTTGGAATAGAGGTAATCACTTACAGTGGGGAGAGCAGCCCAAGGACGCCAGTACAAGCTGCAGCATGACACCCCAGGGAAGAGAAAGTGAGGGGGGAGAGGACCTCTATGGTTTATCACCAGGCTGAGTCAGCAAGCATGTAAACTTTCCTGACATTCATTCCTGCATTTGTTTCACTGCATTTGGAAAAGCAAGACTTCTCTACTAAATGCACATGAAAACGAGCCACTGGGATTTAAACACTCACTACTCATTTTCAGTGTTACATTTATCAATGCTGGAAAGTGATCAGCTGTCCTTCACTGCAATTATGGCATGCTTGGCCAGAGAAGTGGAACTTCAAGACCAGAACCCCAGGCTCAATCCTACAGTGTAATTTTTGCATCTTCTGAGTATCAGAGCGGACTTGGGCATGACAGAGGCTCTTCAACTTGACTTCAGCAAAACCAAGATTCTAAATGAGGATTCTGTGGAACCTGTAACCAGTAAGAAAAAAAAACAAGTTATGCAACTCTGTTGTATAGGAAAATAAAACAAAGAATTAGAAGCACTGGAGGATCCTCCCTCTGTAACTAGTAGCACAGTTTCATGCTGTCAGTCTCAGCCCAGAATTAACTCAATTCACGGTGGCCTAGCAGGGCACACAACACAACCACCACACAATCACTCCCTCCAGGATTCAGAAAATCCCATTCTTTCACCTGTGCTGTACAGAAAACAGCATTACATAGGAGGGCGTGGGGGCCGTCATTTTACCCAAGTGCAGCATTTCAAACAGGCCATCTCTCACACATGATCACGGTTACCTTGACTTCATGAAAGCTTTCACAAACACTGCAATCTAGAGGGAAAACTGTGTAAGTGATAATGTAGTAACTGCAAAATAATTAAAGAGGGATTTATAGCTGAGGATCAATTCACACAAGGAGTTCTCCCAAACTGTTCAATGTCATTTGAGTTTTCACGCATGCTCCAACCACCTTGCAGGGAATACTCATGTCTTCTAACCTCCTTCCAGGTTAAGTATTTTCTCATTTTGCAACAAAAGCTTTAAAAGCCATGATACTATCAGCACTCACTGTAATCACATTATCTTAATGAGGGGCTAAAGAGGCCTAATACTGCTGATACAATCTCTAAAACATAAATAACATAATAATTTAGACTAAGAACAATGGCTTACTGTAAACACCTGAAAAATACCAGGCTTGGGACACTGAGCCAAGTTATACACTGCTATTACAGCAATAAATTGCTCTGTGGCTCTGTCTTTCCTAAATGTTGCAATGCATCTTCCTTGTAGGCGCACGGGTTGGACTCCAGGCACTATTTTAAGAGAAGAGAATGGAGAGCAGCATTTAAACCAGTGGTTACCTAAGAGCTCAATATTGATGACCTAATCTGGAAACTGGATTAAACTACACAGATTAACACACTCGGTACAGCTGCATGGATTTATGGTTGTCATGACAACCAGCAGAAAATGTACGCCACTGATCCGCTCCCAGCAGATCAGTCTCTGTGCAGCATTAACAAGACCTATCAGTAACACAGACATACTAAGTGATTTCACTGCAGATATCTGGATTGGTATAATCTCTAACTCTCTCTGCATCTTAAAATACAATTTACAACCAGAAGGAGAGGCTCAGTTTACGAACGAATGCTGGAAGCAATGAGCACCCTTGGGTGTTATCTGAAATGTGTAACTTCTTAGACAATATTAGTGCTAACTTCTTAGAAAATATTAGTGTTTTCCAATTAATCTTCCAGGCTAGTGAGTGCAAATATGTATTTGTTTCATAAACATAATAAAGTGACTATTACTCTATGCTTCACACATTAGGCAGAGTCCTCTCACTTTTCAAACAAGAGACACACTGATTTGGAGTCATCTTTCTCAAAACAGTGTGAAATACAAGCTCACTCTTCTAATCGAGACTGAGGGTTTTATTGCAGGACAAAGTCAATAAAAAAAAAGTAACAGCCCTGGGCGGGTGACCGTAGCCAGAGATGCACTGATTAGCATTTGTTACAGGTTTATATACTTTCACTATTGCATTAGTCATATACATATTCATAATTCCCGCATATAGGCAGGGAATATTATAACTACCTCCAGGAACTGATTATCGTAAGTCTCCTCCTCTTGGTGTCCGCACACTGCTCTCCAGTGACTGTGGGCAGGCATCTCAAGGATGAAGTGAACAGTCTTCCTCATGTGAGTAGGGGTCTTCAAGATGAAGTAAGCAGTCTTCCTCACGGTGTACTTTACACCTTTGGCACAACTGGGTACCACAGTAATCACAGAACATGCTGAAACCAGCCATATCTGTAATTTTGCTGATAGCTGGCAAAGATTTAGAACAGTGTGACCTTCCTGTGAAATTTATTGCAGGATGGGCAGACAACGAGTATCCCAAGCTAGCAGATGTTTGGGAGGCACTGTCTCTTAACTAACTGATAAGTAGAAGGATGGTGTGAAATAATTTACCCATGTTTAGTGGGGCCACTAAATTCCAGACTTACAACACAACATTGTTCTTTAACTTCGACCTAAGTTAGGCTAAAAGTACTTTAACCCTATGTTTTCCAGGCACTAGCTTTTCTTATATCAAGCTCCACCCCCACCCCCCTTTTACCTTTACAAACTCTTTTGCTATGTGACTCCATTTTGCTCCAGAGTTCTGGCCATTTTCAACTTGCTGTCTAATCTTGTGTCTTTAGCGAGCTTTGCAAACTCATACAGTTATAATCACATAGCAACACCTAGGATTTGTGAAAGCCAATACATTTACGTGTTTATCACAGCGGTAACTTGTTTTCTTTGCAATGAGAAGAGCCTTTGGTTTTATACTTTACGAAAGAAAGCCAGGAAGCTGGACACTGTTTTCAGTTACCCTGCTGCCTGTTTGGACAATTATTTACTCTCTGTAACCACAATAAGGTACAGCAAAGAAAAAGGAAAGTAACAGCCATTTACCTACTTTACAGGCACAGTCAGAGGCTGAGCTAATTAATATTTGCCAAGTGTCCTAAAAGACAGATGCACAAAGGACTACATTTTTTCCAAATACAGAGAAGAGCCATGCTGGAGGGTTCCAAAGGCTGAGGTTTATTCCAGGCCTCTCAGTAAAAATCATAAAGAGAAGAAAACATTTCTGACTTCTAGGGCTTCGGAATAACACTGGAGGCTGTGACATGTAAAAGCTGTGTGGTGGTCCACCTGTAAGGAGCTCATCCCACTGCTCGACAGCGTGCTTTAAATCCATGGGCTCTCGTTTGTTACGTTCCCCACCCTAGCATAACTTCACCTTTAGGGCCGCTCGTCGGGGCGGGGGAAGGGGAGGTGAGGCCCTGCGGGGCCGGCGCTCGGGTGCCTGTTGTGCCAGCGCCGCCGGGTCTGGCGGCCTTTGCCGGGAAGTGGAGCAGTGTTCCGTACCTCCCTGCGCTGTAACCGGGGCCGCAGGGAGACCCCGCCAGTATGAAGGAGCTTCCCCTCGGAGCTCTGCTGCGGAGGAGCCATAATAATTTGAATTACACTTTGTCGCGGCTGTTTTAATTTGCATGGTAATTTGCATAAAGGACATATGCTGCCTAAAAGGCATTCTTTCCTCATCAAAGTGTAGCGGCCCATACGTTCCTCTTTCTGACCTTTCCTCAGAACGCTCTGAATGTGGCGACGTCTGGTGCAGTCCCAGTCACAGAGGACGGTGGGTGCATCGCCTGCCTCAGCGCCGCCTCCCTCAGCCCCTGCCCGCTGCCCGCCATTTGCTCCTGTCAGGCGGACCGCCATTTGCCCGCCTCCCTCCTCTTTCTTACCTTCTCGCGGCGAGGACAGGCCTTCCTGCCTGTCTGATAACCGGGCTGCCGGGGACGATAGGCGGGCTGAGGGGTTGGCGCCCCGCCTGAGGCTACCAGCGCCATCGGCTTTTTCCTGAACTTTTGACAGCTCTAGTGGCAGCGGCAGGCGCAGCCCTCGGCATCCCGCTTACACCTGCCAGGTCCTCTTGAGACCCACACATTCGGAGCTACAGGTGCACCCCCTTCCTAGATTCAGGTCTTTTAGCCATATAATTTATCTCCTCAAAGGGCTTCAAGTCCTCATTTAAAGGATGGGAAGAGAAGGCCCAGAAAAGTTTCAGATGTCAAGGCTCCAGCTAGAAGAAAAACCTGTCATGCAAAATGTACCTGGGAGCTGCGCAAGCAGCTCTCACCATCTGCACAGAGCCGTGGTGAGGATGCTCACAGGGCTGAGCTGGCGGGTCAGGAGAGGGCCCAGCTGGCAGTTGTTGAGCAAACAACAGTTAAGTACTTGTACTGTCATTATAAACAGGTTCCTTTAATTTTTAGATTATTTGCTAGCAGTGCAACAATAACACAATTTTCATGGTAGTCCCTGTAGAAGACGTACTTCAACCCTTGAAAATAAGCAACCAAATAAACTGCAGATGGAAAATGCTTTGATTCAGAAAGACTGTTTTCAAAAAACAACAAAAAAAGGTAGCTAGTCCTTTCTTATATTGCCTGAGTAACTCAGCAATTCTCAAACTTATCAATCACCTCCCTTTCCCCTCCCTGCCCTGTTTTCAGAAATAACTTATGGCCTGTCATCTGTTGGAAGGGTGGTACAGCCCAGCACAAGCAATCCAGGAGGTTCCTCGATTGTGCAGAAGACAGCTCCCTTCTGCAAGTAATAGAGGAGCCGACAAGGAGAGGTGCCATGCTTGACCTCGTGCTCACCAACAGGGAAGGGCTCCTTGGAAATGTGATGCTCCAGGGCAGCCTTGGATGCAGCAATTATGAGATGGTCGTGTTTGAGATCCTCAGGACAGTGAGAAGAGCGTGCACCAAGCTCACTGCCCTGGACTTCAAAAGAGCAGACGTTGGCCTCTTCAGGAACCTGCTTAGTAAGGTTCCATGGGATATAGCCCTAGAGGGCAGGGGACCCAAGACTCTTGGTTGATTTTCAAGGACCACCTTCTACAAGCTCAGGAGTGTTGCATCCCAACCAGAAGGAAGTGCAGCAGGAGGGCCAGGAGACCTTGGATGGATAAGGAGCTGCTGACAAAAATTCAAATGAAAAAAGAGGCTTATAAAAGGTGGAAGGAAGGAAGGGCCTATAGGGATGCTGGAGAGGGACTCTTCATTAGGGACTGTAGTGATAGGACAAGGGGTAACGGGTTAAAACTTAAACAGGGGATGTTTAGATTGGCTATAAGGAGGAAATTCTTTCCTGTTAGGGTGGTGAGGCACTGGAGCAGGTTGCCCAGGGAGGTTGTGAATGCTCCATCCCTGGCAGTGCTCAAGACCAGGTTGGACAAGGCCTCGGGTGATATGGTTTAGTGTGAGGTGTCCCTGCCCATGGCTGGGGGGGATTGGAACTTGATGATCTAAAGGTTCTTTCCAACCCTAACTATTCTATAATTCTATTCTATGAATATCACATAAATCTGCCTCTAAGCTTGGTCTCAATTTGATGCGCAATTTATATCCAGAAACACCTCACGGATCTTTGTCCACTTCCACTTTTCTTATTGCCTAGACACCCCTGCTTTAGCTGATGAGTTTCATTTGTCATTAACCCAAACACACTGCCTCACTGCAAGCAAGACCAACACCTGAGTTAACACAGGGCACTGGGAACCAGAAGGAAGAACTTCTCCAGTGGTGTGTTTAGGTAATGCAGAGTTTGGAGAGGTCTGTGTGTCTACACTGACATTTGCAGCAGAAAAGAGGATGGGAAGGTGGCTGTTCCAGACAGCCGCCAGACTCTTGACACCCCCAGCATCCCCCAGTGGCAGTAAGGAGGCATGAGGGAGTCCAGTGGTGGGAGCAATTTGGGCTTCAGGCATTTGGGAAGGAAATTACAGGGGGCTGTGAAGGGAAAGGCTCACCCGCAGAGTTAATTCTCCCCTACCCCTCGGGGTGAGGAGGGGATGGCTCATGGCCCCACTAAGCTCTGGAGTCCAGATGGAGTAGCACGGGGCAGAGCATTATTTCTTCCGTGCCCAATTTGTGAACCATTTGCTGAAAAGGGGAGATCAGGCAGAACAAAGAAATAGCCTAATTGTGCTTACCAAACCCCAGCCCTGCTACCAGTACCACCTAACTGCCCCATTTGCATTGGACTTAAATTACTTACAAGTTCATTTAGACACATAGCCAGATTGTTCCTTTAATTTTGCAGATACAAACATTGTGACTGTGTGCACAAATACCTAAAAAATTAGAGTATACGGCTATAGAAGCAGGGCTGTTCTCTCTGTGTTCTTCTTATCAGAAGCCAGGTATAAATACAACAGCCAACTTTTACTTTCATGATTAACATTCAGCCACATTCTTCCTTCTGCACAGAATTTTATTCCATATTATTTGCATCTTAGAAAACACAAAGTATAATAAAAAAGAATGCAAGTTACGTTAATCAGGTTGTTGGAAGTTTTAATTGAGATCCATGTTTGGTTTGCAACAATTTCTCAAAGTCTATGATGAAACAGAAGAATAATTTTGAATGGGAGTAAAAGCACAAATCTGCAAATTCTGCATTTGAAGAACACTGAATAAAAAAGCCTGATTTTCACTAAGATCTACATAATTACCAAGAGCATAAGGGAACATCCTTGCAAAAATTCCTCCCTTCAGTTAAGGCTTTGGAAAGACAGATTTTCAGAAGCGTGGAGCAGTTCTAATCTCAAGGCAATAATTGAGAATTAGAAGTCCTTAGCATCCTTGAACATAGAGCTAGGCAATTGTTTTCTAAACAAATCTAACTTTACAGTAAAAAGCTATTAACCTTACTAAAAATCAGACTGATTCTTGTAAGACTCTGGCACTGTAATTGCCAGTCAGTTGTTCCTAAGTTATTGGATGAAATAAATAATGCAACATTTCGTGGTTGGCATTGTTTTATTGTCTAATATTGATTAAATTATTTACACTTCTACTTTTCAATTGACAGTTTAGCACTCATACCTATGGCTTTTATGTTTAGCACATCTTTGCGTCAAGTGTCAGAATGCATTTGAATAAAACAGGAACGTGATACCATATAGACAAGTCTCTATGTTTAAACGTACTCATTTTAGAAAATGACGATTTATAAGAGTCTGATAGTAGCTCTTCCAGCTCAGGTTTACCACAGATTCTACTGAGCTCTTCCTGTTTTAAAGTGTCCTGCTGCCTCCCTGTGGAGGCAGTTTCCTACATCATCCCCCCTGCCTCTAAAATTAATGCAAAAAAAAACCAAAAAAAACAAAAAAAAACCAGTAGCTGACAATTTTAAGCAAAAATATAAAGCGCTATAACTAAGCTGCCTTTTACTGAACTAAGATCTTGAACGCTAAAAGCTTTACAGAAATTTAACGAGTCTGTAAAAAGGCACAGGATTTTTGTGCTCAGAAACCTCCACCAACTATGTTTGTTCTCCAGCCTGAAAGTTAGGGACCACTTTAGGGAAACAGCAGCCTGATCGAAAAATTCCTAGGTACCCGACTGCTGCTTACAATAGAACCCACCAGGTTTTACTGATTCTTCTGCCACACACCCTGTGAATCTGTAACAAGAGTTTGCTTGTACTGCAAGAGGAAAAGAGGTAAAGTTACTCTTTCATATATCCAGGGATGGTGTAAAAACGGTACAAGTTACTATTCTTAAAATCCTCATAAAGCTGTCCGTGTCTGTGGTAGCTTCTGTTCCATGGTATTACATGAATGGGCAAGTTATTTTTCACGAGAGAAGTTTAGTTTTACATGAAGAGAGCTAACTTTGGTCCACTTCCTAAGGACAGCATATTGGAAATATGCCCACTGACAATTCAAAACCCAATGTAAAAGTTAACAAAAATAACTTGGTATTTAATTCATGTATCTGCACAGTGTTGTTATTTGTCCTAGTTGTTCACCTTTTTGTTCTGCATGTCCACTAACTGTTGAGTCTTTAAGCCTTCAGCTTGTTCATGATCTTCCTTATCTCCACCGTCTACTTGATTAGGTTTCTTTTCTTCTGGTTTTCCTTGATCAACACTTCCATATTCTACTTGTTCAAGTTCTGTTCCATCTATAAGTTCTGCCTGTACTTCTTCCATCTGTATCTGATTTACATGCTCAACATGTAACTGCTCCACATGAACTTCAGCACCTTGTTCAGTCTGAATGTGTTCAACTTCCAAGTAACTAATCTGCATCTGTTCTTGCAGTTCATCCACCTGTGTGCCTTTCACTTGATTGTCCTGTATGAGATCCTGGTGCATCTGTTCCACAGTTACCTGTGCAGGATCCACTTGTACCTGAATTACTGGAAGAACATGGACTTGCTCCACTTGCTCTATTATAGTCATTGATGTTACTGGTTCAGCTTCCACAGCTTCCACTGGAAGAACCTCTTCTGTCACTATTCGCTCTGAAATACTGTGAATTTCTTTGAGATGCCTTCTCAGCTCACTGCCTTGCATAAACCACAAATCACATAGGGTACAGTGGTTGGGTTTGTCACCGGTGTGTATTACCAAGTGATCTTTGAATTGATCCCAGCTGTTAAACACGCTGTTACAAACCTGAAACAAAAGATACATAAATTTAAAAATGTCAACAGAAATATGATAAAATATAGTACCTATTTCAGATCATGGGTTCACATAGTGTAGCTTCTTAATGCTTCGATTAAAAAATGTTATGCATTAGGGGTAAAAGCTGTCAGCCTCAGATGAACAGAAGGCCTGGTATTTATATGTATCTTTTTAAGAAACAACATGCTAATCTAGGTTGTGCACACACAGGATACCCACAAAATCTGTAAGTCAGTACGACATTAGAAAGTTTACTCATTTTAACCCTATGTGAAATTCACACAGTATCATGCCCCAGTGGTGTGGGTTGCCCTCACTGAAGGTCACATCCCTACCAAACCACTCTGTTGCTCCCCACCTCAGCAGGACAGGGGCAACAAAATCATGGAAGATGGAAAAAAACATCATGGGTCAAGATAAAGACAGTTTAATAAAGCAAAAGCAAAAGTCATGCGTGGAAATTACTCAGTTATACATAAAGGTAATGACTTGGTAATGCCCAAGCACATAATTACTGTTCTTGCTACGTGGAACCTAATTCAGTGCTCAAGGCATACACTGAAGAGCACCAGAAGTGCTCATCAGGAAAGAACAATTTTGCTTTCTTTCATCTCTTTGTTCAGTGAACTACGAGTTATTTACTGAACACTACTCAAATTTAGTTCTCAAGAAAGAAAATTTCAAGAAAAAATTATCCACGAATTGCTGTAGTTTCTGCGGGCTGAGGAAACATTAATCTACATTGACAACATCTGTGAGAGGACGTGGCATCAATGTAGAAACAAAAACCTGTGACACAAAGTGATTAGACCAAAGGGTCATAAAACCAAAACAGTGATGCTATTAAATACAAATTCATGTTATACAGTAATTCTCATATTCAGAACAAACATCTTTAAGACACAGGTACACTCCCAAGAATTAACTCCACATTGGCATAACTAAATTATGCAACAGCATTAGTGAAACTTCTGATTATGTTATTTGATTAGCAACAAAAATTAATCAATCTCTTGCAGTGTTCAGTGTTTTCTGTGAATAAGTTCACTCTTTCTTTTGAATAAAGACTATACCCAGCAGTTTTCTTCACAACACAACCCAATTCAGCCTCAAATCGCAGCCATGTTGTGAACTGAATAAGGTGAGGGTCTTAAGGGAAAAAAAAAACCCAAATAAAAGAGGACAAAAGAGGACAAATGTGAAAGAGAGTCCAAAGGCATGCGAGAAAGAGCAGTCAAGCCCAAGAGGGTGCGCAATGGAATGAGAGCATGAAGTGCATGTGCGAGTGTGTGAGAGCAAGAGCACATGTGTGAGAGCGGAGTGAGAAAGAGGGGCAGAGAGTGAGTGTCCATGAGAGACAGCCCACACAAGAAAGCAAGCACAGAAAGACTGAGCCAGAGAGCCAGTGCACCAGACAGCCATACTGTGGTTCACTGCAATCACAGAACGTTCTGGGTTGGAAGTAACCTTAAAGACCATACAGTTACAGCCCCCCCTTCCACTAGATCAGGTTGCTCCAAGCCCCATCCAGCCTGGCCTGCCAGAGATAGGGCAGCCATAGCTTCTCTGGGCAACCTGTCCCAGTGCCTCACCACCCTCACAGTAAAGAACTTCTTCCTAATGTCTAAATTATATCTCCCCTCTGTCAGTTTAAAGCCATTCCTCCTTGTACTATCACTATATGCTCTTGTAAAAAGGCTCTCTCCAGATCTCCTGTAGGCCCATTAGGTACTGAAAGACTGCCATGTCAGCAGAGGAAGGAGGTAACTAGCCTGAGTCTGGTACTTCCATCACCCACCTGACATTCATACAGCTTCTTTCTTCCCTTTTTAGCTCCAGCTCCAGACTGACAGGCTGTCAGGTGACATTTGAGTGTGCTATTCCTAGCAAAACGTTCATGGCAGTTTGGACATTCAAATGGTTTTTCACCTGTTAAAGACAGATATGAGGATTTGTAAGTGTATAAAACCAGACAATTTTCTGACAGCTTTCTCTCTCCCTTTGTGTAGGCTGATAAATATCCTGTAAAGACATGGCCAACTGGATTATTCTACAGAAGAAAAAGACATTCTATGTAAACTTCATTTATGTAAATAAAAGGGTAAAACCCTAATACCTCTCACTTAGAGAAACCACCATTAACATGTAACAATGTAACATATAAAAATTACCAGTGTCATTTAAGGTCCATTTAAGTTTTCATGGAAATTAGATCACTATTCTGATGGAATATATTAAAGAAATAGCAGCTCTCTTCTTATCTGATAATATTACAATTAAAGATTTTTTTTTGTCTGATAATATTTACAGTTAAAGAATCAACATTATTAAATATACAAAGTGACACATTAAAGAAGGATTTAAATAATACAAAATTTTATTTTCAAGAACAATAATAGCTTATGCTTGAGAGCTGAAATTGAGCTACAGAGAAGTTGACATGGAATGACCATGAAATAACAATGCATCAGTATTAAAACAACCAACACTTCCTCCCTCCCAAAATACAGTGAAGAGAAAACACAGAGGACATAAATGGGCACAAGCAACAAAACTACTGTTTTCAGTTTGGTCCCTTCATTTCAAACCTGGTACCAAACACAAAGCCAGCTGATGACAGCTGGAAACAGGTCATTTTCTCTTTTTCGTCCAATGTAATGCATTGTTATTACTGTCATCAAGCAATAGCAAAGAACAGCTGGTGTCTCTGTTTACTAATTTCACCATGCACAAACACAGTGAAATTCAAGGGAATTAAAAGTACAAAAAATAAGGAACTGTGTTTCTTCTAAAATTCTGATAATTAATCTGTGGAGATACTGATATCACATCAGTACTGAAATGAACAACTTTAACTCCAAAAGAGGCTGAGACATTTTACTGAATAGCATACAGATGTATCCTAGCTAGTTTTAAAAAATATTTGGAAGATTCCAATTAGCTTTTCAAAAGAAATCCACAAATAGCCTGTAATTCTCCCTTACACCACTGAAGGCTACAAAAAAAAAAAAAAGTTAAAAGTTGAGAACATTTCCCTTAACTGTTACAAAATTGTATGTTTTGAAGACTGCTGGCCAGGTAACACAGAGGACTCTGAACTCCAATCATGGACTTTGCCCAAGAAACCTATGGATACTACACAACAAACCTCACACCACCGACCCCCCTCCCTGACTCAAATTTCTTCAGTCATCTCTAATGTACTCTGCCAGAAGTGTCTGAAAGTGACAATTCAAATATAATGGTGGCAACATTCAAAAGACACTGTGTGACTTTTTGCACAGTGCAAATCAGTGCTGTGACCTGGGCTGTACAATGGCAGTGCATCACTGCAGTGATGGAAAACACAGTGTGCCAGCTCTCTCCCCTTTTCTTTATTCTCAGAGATGCACGCTGGTAAGCTGAAGCTAACCTCCTCTGCTGAAGGTGACAACTTGCTTCTCCCGTGTGTCATCCAACTATGAGTGTAGTTTCATGTAAGTGAGATTTTATGAAGATTTTATGAAGAACAGGGTTTTTGGCCTGATCTAATGATTATCTTTTCTCCCTTTCTGAGAACAGATGAGATTTCACTTGCCAGTCCTAAGTAACCCACAGGACAGAATTAACTTATTCAAGGTATGTAAATAAAGTTAATTTATTCACTGCTGTAGAAGACAGTACTCACAGTTCAGATTAAACCTCCTGTAAAACATATTTTCATTTTTCCAAGAATGGCAAAGACCTTGATTAATTTTTTTTAAGAACTTTGTATACAGTTTACTTCAGCTATAGATTCTTCAGATGAGGCCGATTAATTTGGCTGCTTGGAACACCTCCCAACTCTTTCACTTCCACCTTCACTCATAATCAAGTAAATCACTCATAATCACTTCCACACACATAATCAAGTAGGATCAGCAGGAATCAAAGCTGTTCAGTGTCTGTGCTAGGGAAAAAAACCTTTGCAGAATAGCAGGATTAGACCATCATATTGAAAGCAGTAGCTTCATTCTAAGATCAATTTCTGTACGAGGAAATGGCTCTTTTTGTGTAAAAAAGAATTAGAACATAGGAGATACACATTACTTAAGAGTAGCCTTGCAGAGTTTCTCTCCCATGCATTACTTACAATAGGCAAGTGACATATCAACCATACTCACAAAGGGGAAAAAGATAATCAGATCACACCAAAACCCTTTCCTCTAAGTTCTTGAGATGACTGTTACTTTAGCATGCAAGACATTTCTGAGGTATATTTTCATTGACTCAGAAGCTGCTTAAGGCTCTGTGCATATGAATGAGACAAACTCCATGGTTCTCCTTCCTTTCTTTTATTAAGACAAAGATAATAGCCATTGGTAATGTCAAACTCCTATATCAAAAAGAATTACCCACCCTGAGAAGGTGTCTATTTATGCCCCAACTTCTATTTTCATGTTATTGTTGAAGGTATGATGAAGCAGGAATGGGATCAAATGATTTGTAGGACATTTTCTCACAGGCCTTTTAATTTCATTTTAGCATTCAACCAGTGCTATACAAAATTCAGAACTTAGCCTTTGGCTGAATAGGAGTTTTTTTCCACTGTTCTTAGCGCAGACCACAGTTAAATGATAATCTGTTTTGATGTTAAGCTTAAGGTCTTTGAAAATGCTAAATCAAAAGCAACTATATTCCGTGAGCTATTCCTGTATCAATATATATTTGTGAAGTACTCTGTACCTGCTGTGATAGGCTAAGTTGCTTGGTCCCCAAAATTCTTTGTCACAACAGCAACTAACATACTGTGATTTTTGGCTTACTTTGTTAGTGTGCCACAAACTTTTCTCTGAAAAGACTTCTGTTAAGTATCTTGTATTTGGATTGCTCTTAATAGAGAAACACCCCCTGGTTCTTAGGGGATGAGGATTTGCCAAAGACTGTTTATAAATGGAACTTTTAAGGGCTACTGGGAACAGACTGGACACAGAGTCTCATATCAATACTCAGCAGTCCCACATACAAAGAAATGAGATTTCTTTAAATTTCGAGGCTTTAAGAACAATAAAAATCTGTGAAAGAAACAGGGCTGCTACCTTCCATTCAGTTCTTACTGATGCCTCATGACTGACAAATAAAAACATCTGGAAGATCAGGATTACACACATTTTACATTCAGAGTTATCTGTATAAACCTCAGTATCTGTTCAGATAGCAGACTTTTCAGCGAGACGAAGAAGTAGTATCTTAACCTCCCAAGTAGAATAAGAAAGAAGAAGCACAAGTAATTTTGTACTCAAAACATGCTATCCAGATTTCAAACAGGTATATTTCAGAGAAAAAGGACAGTGTACATCAGTCACTAGAAGTGTTTTGATGTGTAAATTAACAAATTAAACTCAAGCCATAGATGAGATGTCAAGAGCAAGGGTGAAGCTTTGCCAACAAGGTAGTACAAGAGGGAACTGTTAGGAGGTATTTATGCCTAATGCATTAATAGGCATTTGCTCCATTCTATTAGATAAAAACACTTCTGAACAGTATTCCACTAAGAAGTTCACAGGTCAGATCATATTTCAACAGAAACATTTACTACTAGAACTGTGAAAATAGAAGTAACTTCTCAGTTTTGTATTTTTGAAGAAGGACACATGCCTTAAGATGATTTTGTAAACATCTTTAATAGACTTGAGAGAGAAGCTTCATTATTGCTTTCTGGTTTTAGGTGCCTATTTTTAACCACCTCACTCCATTACAAGTTTACATCAACAGAAAAAAAAAATCCCATACAAAACCAAACAACAAATGAACAAACAAAACCCGGCATTTAGTTGTAACTAGAAGCCAAGTATTTCTAGCACTCAAGGGTCATGTGCTCTCTTCAGTATATTCTCTATTTCCCCAAAACATGCAAATCCCCAAAATCCTAGAGCCAAGGCTACAAGGACAGGACTACAGCAGTGCTCTTACCTGTGTGTTTCCGGAGGTGCTCTTTAAAATGTCCAAAGTGATCAAACTGTTTATCACAGTACTGGCATATATGGATTTTTTTGCCAGGTCTTTGCTTCTTGCTGGCACCACCTTCATCAAGGTGGTAACAAGTGAGGTGCTGTTTCAAAGCACTCTCTCGTAGGTACCTTTTATTGCATATGTCACACTTGTAACTCTCAGTGGAGTGTGTTTTCATGTGTTCCTTGAAATGGTAAAACAATTTAAATGAACGATTACATTTCTCACAGTGGAATAAATTGTTCATGTGTGACAGCTGAAGTTCCACAATTTCAATACCTTCTACCTGTTTGCACGAGGTATCAGTTGCACTATCACCTTCTTCCTGGATCTGGGATTTTCTCTCCCCCTGACGATACTTGCTGGTAATGTCTGCCAAAAGAGCCAATGCAGATTCATCTGATGTACCTGTGGTCTGTATGTACTTTATGGATTGCTCTGCAGAAGCTACTTCTTCAAGTGTTTCAATGCTGTCGTCTTCCACTTCAATTGTGCCTTCCGCAATCTCAACCTCAATTTCCACAGGCTCCGATTCTGCAGATGGAAGTGTTTCTGTGATAACATTAGAGGTTTCAGCTACCCTCCTCTTTTTTGGTTTGTTTCCTTGTGCTTGATTTGAGTCTAAAGGAGATGAGTTTTCTTTGTTCCTGTAAAGCATTTGCATAAACATGGTTAAGATTCATAAGCACTGACATAATTCCTGCCTAATAGTGAGCTTCAATATCTAACACTCGAGCTGTTTCTCAAGAAAGCTGAATGATAGCACACATAATCTGTATGCATATCAGAAGCTGGTTTGTCCTTTTATCTATATTCCTTAGAGTTGTAAAATAGCATGGTTAAAGCTGAAGAGCCTTGAGATAAGGCAACTGAAGAGTGTTAAAAAGGTCCTCTTGCATGACACAGAGCACCTATCCAGAAGAAAGATAAACTTATGTCATGAGGTTAAGTGGCCTAAGAAACCTGTGAAATTCTGTACTTGGAAAGAAAACTTCCCCCAAGGAAGGAATTCTTTGGCCTACCTACTCAGAAATAAGATTCAAGTCCTTCCTAGGCCTTTAACCTCTTAAGCTCTTGGAGTATGTGCAATTGCCTGCATTGCTTACAGCTTCCTACAAAAACACTACAGGTGTGATTTCACACAATGACCATTATAACCTCTCATACTTCTGGAAAGAATACAGCTAACAGGGGAGGTAAAAATGAAAGATACTGGAGTGTGGAAAGTTTATTGTTTACTTCTCTGGGCTTAAACACAACCAACCCACAGCTCTGCTCCTATTCTCCCTGCATCATATACAGGCAGCCCCCTTCCTCCAAAGTATGAGGGACGGCATGCCACCTCAACCACAGAGCCAAGTGGGCCAATGCTTTCTATTCACACCTTCAAAATCATCTGCAGCACTTAATGCACTGGAGATTTTACTACTAATAATCAGTTTCAAAAATGAGTAGCTATCTTCCACTTAAGAGTGACAGAAGTAAGCTGTGCTTTTGCCTTCCTCTGCAGTGTGATGAATCCTTTCACGTAATCTATTCCCTACCACTTCATGTTTTCTAGTTACACGAGAGACAACTTACAGGTACTGTGCAAAGCCTGATGATGTCAGAGATGTGCAACTGATGATCTAATGCAGGATACAGCTTATTAAATCGCAGCTTACTCAGACACAGGAATACAGAGCAGCTAAACTTAGTTTCATGTAGCCTAGACTCCTGATACCTAGAAGATATCAGTTACTTTGCACATTACTGCAAGGAGCTGCAGGATCACATATCAAAAGAATAATCTGCTTAGCAAAGTGGAGACTATCATTGTTGACCACACTGTGTGAAATTTTGGATGGGAATACACACATACAACACTAGTGAAAACACTTTAAGTAACAGCAGCTGGTTGTTTTCTTTCTAGTCTAAATGCGATGTGCAATTCTGATGTATTATACAAATAGTTCTGTAATCATCTCTACTTTCATCTCTAAGTTTCTGAAGCTTACCCCTTTCAGTCAAAGTTCTGACTGAGGCACTGTATTGCAATTCTTCCCCCTCTTACTGTGGAGGAGAAAACAGAAACTGACAGTAGTACACAAGCTTGTCTTTCTAACAAGAACCAAAAAAAACCCCAAACCAACCAAACAATCCAAAGCAAACCAAACCAAACCCAGAAAACTTAAAACCCCCTCACTTCAAAACTCATAAACAATGGGAATAACTCTTAAGAATAGACTGGCTTGCATGTGTGTTCATTAAGCAAAACATTTTGTTTCCTTGCAACATGAGAATTACAACATTTATTAGTGGTGCATAACCAAGAAACTACATAACATCACATAATAGTGGGACATAATTGCAGGCTGGACAGTTTAGCTTGAGAGATGGATCTGTTCAGTCTGGAGAAGAGAAGGTTCAGTGGGCAACCTTACTGCTTCCTACAACTACCTGAAAGGGGGATGGAGCAGAGGTGGCTGGTCTCTTCTCCCCAGTAACAGGTGACAGGACAAGAGGTAACAGGCTCAAGCTGCGTCAGGGGAGGCTTAGACTGGATACGAAGAACAATTTCTTAACAGACAGGGTGCTCAGGATTGGAACAGTCTGCCCCCGGCAGTGGTGGAGTCACAGTCCCTGGAAGTGTTCAAAAAGTGTGTAATGAGCCCCTCAGTGCCATGGTTTAGTAGTGGACTTGGCAGTCCTGAGGTAATGGTTGGATTTGATGATCTTAAAGATCTTTTCCAACTGAGAAGATTCTATGAATCCTCATTCAATAGCTGTAGTAGTGTACACTGACCCGAAGTGATACTGATTTGAACACACATTTTCAAGTTTCTTTTGAATTCCCCAAGCAGGCAGATACAGTCTGCTTTTCTTCCAGAATTAAAATGTCAACCAACCAAACAAAATTAATAATCTTTTGATGTTACCATACTTAGTCTTAATAATATAAAAAAGGGTGTTTGTAAGGTTGGAGGGTAAGACCAGAAATGCACAATCCTGTATCTTTCCTATTAAAAAAAGTCACATACTTATTTGGCTCTATTGCTAACAGAGTAGCAGTTAATTTGGAAATAAACCTTTGTGGAGCAATGGTTATTCTCACGAGGGCCTGCACAACACAGGATTAGAGCTGAGTGAGACAGCCTTGAACTCTCTTAGCCAATAGCAGTGTATAGACAGGCGTGTGAACAGGTTTATGTAGCCAATGAAAGATGTACAGCTGTCACGTAAACTATCACCAATGGTATAAATTAGGTGAGCCTGTGTAATAAATCGAACAAGAAGCGTAACTCATATTGGGATTGTCTTCTTGATTCGGGTCGCTCCCCCGACAAACCCTGATGTTGAAAACCAAGTTTCCAGCATACCATGTGGTGGTTTTTTTAAACAAATGTTATCGAGCTGCTAGAGGGAGCTAATGCCACTCTCAAGGAAGCAACTCTTTTCTTAGACTGAATGCAAAGACCTTTCAGCAGGCCTAGAAGAGAAACTGATAATAATTCCAATGCTGGAAGCATTTATTGCCCCTTCCTCTACTTCACACAGACAGAGCATGCAGACATTCCTCATGAAGGAATGAAGATGTGATGGCACTTTCTGGAAGTGTAAGGCAAGGAAACAGTATGAAACCAGCATGATGGGACTAGCACCTGCTTTTCTCTGATTGGAGTTTGTCAATGGAGTAGCTGCTGGTACTGGAAAAAAAATGCCACAGCATCCTTCCATAAGTACTGAGCCTGTCTAAAACTGATTAGAACCATTCAAGAAATTTGAGAGGTTAATTTTGGAGCAAGAAGTTTTAAAGCCGCTGCTTCTTCTCTCAGAAATAGCAGAAAGCTGCATGAAATCAAAGCACCAGCACAAACTTGTTAATGTGATCTAATTACCTGCGGCCCATTGTCACTCCCCAGCTGTCAATCAGGTGTGGACAGTTAAGATAGCAGAGAGACATGGTATTAGTTACCACAAAATCACAGCCCTACAATGTCTGCAACATTTACCAGCCACGTCACTTATCACTGAGTTCCAACACAAAGAGTGTGACATTCCTTTTTTAGCCTGTATAATTTTGACTTGTATTTTATAGAAGAGTATGTGGTCCACACAAGTTTAGAAGGTTCCAGGAGAAGGAACAGAATCCTGGCAGCCAGCTCTTGTAAAAGTATTCTTGTGACTCTACATTTCAGTGTTGGGAAGAAAGAGAGGTTTATGGGCTTACCTGATTTGAAGTGCTTTGATCGCTTCTAACATCTGTAGATACTCAGCTGCTTTCCAAACATCGTTTGCTTCTTCTTCACCTTGGACCATTAGTTTTGCTGTATATGTGAACTCAATTAGGTGACGAAATGCCATGTTACTTACACCTGTATCAAGGAAGAAAAAGAACTGTTTTCTCAGACTTATCTATCTGATGAATCTTGCATACACCTGCTCACCATTTTGTGCATAGTACTGTAGCTCCCAGTTTCACAAAGATGACACCCTTAAAGGGCTCATGTTGGAATAAAAAGTCCACTATAGAAACATGTGAATCTGGAACAACTACAGTTATATCACAACAAAGATACAAGGAATGACAATATGGACAATAAGCTGAATAATAAAAAGTATGAATACAGAAATACAACCTCTCTCCCAAGAGACTTTTCAGCAGCAATTTATTGGAGGCTGAGATACTGCTCCAGGAATTTGCTCCATGTTTACCAGGCAAGTATTGCTCCATGTCTATCCTGTTCTTGCATCCCAGCCAAGGCATCTGCCATTGCCTGTCCTTTTTCATCTCACCCTTTTTCATCTCACCAGAATGGCTGTTTTCAGGGAAAAGACTGTATGTCACACTGCTAGTCCTAAAAATGTAGAGGGTATGCCTGACCTCCGTTAGCCATGTACCTGGGGGAAGAAAAAAAGGGAAAAAAAAAAAAACCCAAACCCAAACCATCCATGAAACCTCACACTTTCCTTTCCAAAAGATTTCATGACTGGGTATTTTCTTTCTAATTTTTCTTCAGCAGAGATATTTTTCCAGTGGTGGTAGCTGCCTCAGAACAACACAAGAGCTGAGATGTGGAAAGCTAATTGGTATGACCAAGCATGCCTGTTAGCCTGTACTAAGAATACTACATTCATTTCCAGCTTGGGCACACAATTCTGAAGATTTTTATTTGCACAAATCAGATTACCTTCAATCTCCACCAAGGGCTCCTGAGTGAAATCTTGGAAGAACTTGTAGAAGAACTGGCTACAGGCAGCAAGAACCGCCTTATGAGCTTTGAAATGGTGACCTGCAAAAAGAGACAAAAGGTTTTGTTTAGGGTAACATCTTCCTCACCCACATTGAGGAACGTGCAGATGCAGAAAAGAGACCACCCAGTCTACAAATCTATTCCAGCAGCATATAGTCACTTAGTATTTCTCTTTGTAACATGGGATACTACCACAGTAGACCTTTGCTGACATCAGACCTTGCTGAAGTTCTGCAACTTAGTCAGCTGGACGGTTCACTCACTATAGAGTTTCTCTTTCCAGGTATTTAAGTCATGGGAAATTCCCAGGCAAATTTTTTCCTGTATGTCTTGGACTCAGCTCTCAGGTTTCACCCAGGTTCTCCTTGATTTCTGTTGCTCTTACAGACTGATGTATTTTATCACCTTTCTGCCAGCATAAATACCACTGCAGAACAAAAGAGGTTCTGCTCTTCCCCATCACTATGTTTCCTTCCCCTGGGGATGAACATCCAAGAGGCTCCATGCGACACAGGTAAGAGAAGCAACATGGATTATAACTACACAGCTGCACACAAAAGCAGCTTTGAGCACAACATGTGGATTTGGCAGTAGCAGAGCAGGAACAAGCACTCAAGCTAAGCTTTGTGTGAGTGCTGCAGGTGAATCTACCAAAGTTCCTGAAGTGTAATTTTATTTCATTTGCTTACTTTACTTTGGAAACTACAGACCAGTCAGTCTCAGGGAGGCAGGGGAGATCCTGCCTCACCGATTTGGTGGCCTTCTATGACAGGGCTATGGAACTGATGGACAAGGGTAGAGCAGTTGATGTCATCTACCTGGACTTGAGCAAATCATTTGACACTGTCCCGCATGATATCCTTGTCTCTAAATTGGAGAAGCATCAATTTGATGGTTGGACCACTCAGTGGATAAAGAACTGGCTGGATGGCCTCACACAAAGAGTTGGAGACCAGTAATGAGTGGTGTCCCCCAGGGATCGGTGTTGGGACTGATCCTGTTCAACATCTTTGTCAGTGACATGGATATTAGAATTGATGCACCCTCAGTAAGTTTGCTCATGACAGCAAGCTGTGTGGTACAGTTGATAGGCTGGAGGGAAGGGATGGGATCCAGAGGGACCTTGACAAACTTGAGAGGTGGCCAATGCCAACCTGATGAAGATCAACAAAGCAAAGTGCAAAGTCCTACACCTGGGTCAGGGCAATCCCAGGCTCAGCTGCAGGTTGGGTGGAGAAGGACTTGGGGGTGTTGGCTGATGAGAAACTGAACATGAGCCTGCACATACCATCAACAATCAAAGTGATATCTGTAAACTGGTCCTGCTCACGTTGTTCATTCAGTCTATCCAAAATAACCTTATAGTGTTCAGGAAATTCCTGGATACACTCCATCGTTTCTTCAGCTTCCATGGCAAAAGGACTAGTCTGCAAAAGATATGGCAAGAGGGTAAAAATAGTGTGCCAACTGGTAAATACTAACAGTCAGGGTAGTATACAAACATGAACTAGCTATCACTATTAAGGGAGTACAAAAACAACAGAAACACTTATTTGTCTTAGGACAGGTTTACCTCATTTTAGTTGACAGGTAGGCGGTGGTACACTTAATGATGTGGAATCTTATTTATACACAGAAAAATCATTCGAAGTGGGTAAGTGTATTTCTTTACAGATTCAGCAGGGACCCACCTCTACCAAAGCACATGCTGCAGGGATACAACATTTTCAGAGCTACCTATTCTACAACATCTCAGTAGCATAATGTCAGAATCTTTCTACAGTTACTTCTTGCAACTCCACCAACCCACTTGGTGGAAGAACAGTTCTTAACATTTCCATATTTATGTCACATTTTGCACCCAAGGAACACACGATATTTACTTCCTTTAAATAATGATGTAATAAGCAGCACTTTTCAGTTTCTGAGTACACAGGAATAGCCAGTGATTTAACATGCTGTCACACCCAAGAAAAAAGTGTCTTATTCACCAGCCTATTCAAACTTCTCCCCCTACAAGGTAAAATGTTCTTTCAAAAGAGACAGATACACTTGTAATCTGATGGCTCTTCCTCCCTTACTTACACAGTAAGTATAGCTGTGGGTGGGAGTTGCAGAGGTTCTCAAACCTGAAAAGGTTTAGCAGAACTCTGCCTGTTGATGAGATGTGGATGTTAAGTCTGCTGCTTTTGCGAAAGAACACTGGGAGAGAGTCCAAGCACTTCAATGAAAGGATTTCATAAATTAACTCCAGGCAAAATGATTCAGATCTGTGGAGCAGCACTCATCTCTAACTCCCACATTCACATGAGAATGCCGCAGAAAATAACGCAAGCAGTTCAAAATCACGTTAGCACAGGAACATGGTCTCTTTGCAGCAATCTAACTCACTCCGAAGAACATGTAGTTTCTGACTAGGCTTGAATGAGTCTTAAAGGAATATGAGACATACCTTTCAGTGTACTGTTACACTTAGTATGGACAAGAAAATCAGGAGAGCAGCCAGTATCGAACCAAACACTGAATACAGAGGCGGAAACTTCTGGGGTGGCAAAGAAGCAGTTTTCTTCAGAGTGCTAGGAGAGTCTATAAAGCAGGTGATACCCAGCTTCTGGTGCAGATCCTTTTTGTGTGTGACTTGAATTGGGAAGTCCTAACTACAAAACAGTTCCTAGTGTGTACTGAACACATCTGAGCTCATGTCACCACGCTTGCTAACTCCCTGTGCGACTGTGTAAATTCTACCTCACCTATAGCAAACACACATAAGGGTATATGGGGTTTGATACAAGTAGAGAAAATTATCCAGCTATGATGAAAGCAAAGTTACTTTCTTACGACTTTCTTAAAAGTCATAAAGAAATTGTGGAATTGCTGTTTCACCGCAACTTCATGCTCTTTGCGTCTCAGAAAAAAATGGCACACAAAGAAGTCATTTTGCCAAGAACATGAAAAAAGAATAGCAGAACCAACCACCTATGGAAGCCTACCTGCAGCTGCTATTACTGCTTTGCCAAGCAGATGCTGAAATACCTATCAGGGTCTTACAAGGGTCAGAGGAGACCAGCCTGTGAGGACAAGGGGGAAGATGAGGTGGAAGAGAGGAGATGCTGCTGCTACTGCATTCACTTCATCTCATCTGTAACAACGGGCTTAATACAGATGACCAGCAGCTCCTGCCTTTTCTCTGCCATCTGGTGTTCCATATCGTCTCACAAGGGAAGTTGTCAGCCATTTTCTTCACTGTTTAATTCTTTTTGCATATTTTTGACACTTCATAAAAACAGACGACTTGCAGTTAAACACGTAATTCCTTAGAAGTTAAATCAAACAATACTTTGGCCTCCAGCTCTCATGATTTCCACCTACCCAAATACACTTTATTTCCAAATTGAATGATTGGAGGGATGTTACCATAAAAAGCCTCAAAATAATGGAGTAACCTCTCACCCCTATAAAGTCTAAGAAGTTTTTGTCTTAGAACACTTAAAAAGCATGAATAAGAAAACATACAATTTACAGTAGCTATTTATTGTCATGAATTAACAAAGAACTAGTAAAATGTGTGAATTTATTGCATACCTAAATGCAATTGCAACATTCACTGAGTACTCACATTTTAAAAACTCAGTGATATTGCAGAAGCCCAACAGAACAGCATATAATCAGTAGGAGCATGACTTTGGGGGAATAAGTGAATGACACCGCTGAGAAAAGCACGAGGGCAAGGCAGGCAGGCAGAAGTGATTCAAACTGCCACTTACGAGTAGGCTTACACACAAGTGTTGGGAACTGGACTACTTGACTGTTTAGCTTATTTTCTTGGGAAAGGTAGTAAAAAACTAACTTAACCTTATCAGCATGTAACACCAAGCACATCTCATGTCACGCGTATGATCTGCACATCCGCTTTTACAAATCTACCCTGTGAACCCATCTTATTACGGTCGTGCATTACAACCGTAACTCATCTTTTAAGCACCCGACACCTGTCCTTGCCCTCATTGGTCGCACAAGAATGCAGACAGGCAGAACAGCGTTGCGGCCACCCAGACACCCCGAAGCAGCCCGCAGAGCTCTGCCCAAGCCACCGCCGTCTGGCTGCAGCCGCCTCAGGAAGCGCTATCCGAAGGGCGTGTGGTGGCGGCGGTCGCTTCCAGGCACCACAGCAGCGAGGGCTTCCTGTGAGCTTCGCCGCACGCTTCAGAAGCCGCCGCAGGACAGGGCAAACCCCGCCCCCCATAGCTACCACACGCGAGGTCCCGCTTCCCCCGAGCCGCCTCAGCAACAGCCGGGCTGCACCACAGCGCACCCCAAGCCGGAGGAAGGCCGTTCATTCACCCCCTCGCCGCTCTCCCCCCCCCCCCCCAGTTCTTCCGGCTCCCGCGGTCCCCGCCCCGGCTGGTCCCCGCCCCGGCTGGTCTCCGGCGGCCGCAGGCGCCCCCACCCCCAACGCGCTCCAGCCCCGGAGCCCCCACTGCCGAGCCACGGCCTCCCGCGGCCACACCTTGGCCCCATTGGAGGACGCTGATGGCAGTCAGCGCCACCCCCGCCAATCACAATGCGGCGGTAGAGCCTGCCCCAGGCCGAGAAGCCAATGAGCGCCCGCCCAGTTCAGGAGCGGGAGAAGGCGGAAGGCCTAGCCCTCGCTCAGCGTCCGCCGGGCACGGGCGCCCCGAGAGCAAAGCGAGAGGCCGCCTTCGGCCATGAGTGTCCCACGTAGCGCCCCGGGGAGGGCCCCGGCCGGCGCCGGCCAGAGCCATACGCTCCGCAGCACCGCCGCTTCGTTAGCCCCTATTACGTCATCAAAGCGCGCATTAAATCGATCCCTTTTCGATTCCCAGCCGGGTCGCGGCCCGTCTGCGCGGCGCCCCGCGGCGAGGGAAGGTGGTCCGGCCGGGTACTCACCTCGAGCACGGCCGCCCCGCCGAGCCCGCTCCGCCGCGGCCGCTTCCTGCTCCCCGGCACGCTGCAGAACGGGGCGGGCGCCGGCCAATAGCGACTCGCATTCCCGGCCTGCACCGCACTGAGGAAGTGACGGCAGCATTCACCTTTCACATGCGGGGGGGGGGGGGGGGCTGCTGGCGTGGTGTACTCTGGGAGCTGTAGTCCGCGCCTCTCACAGCACCGGGAGGGGCACGGCCCTCGGTGTTAGCGGGGACGCCGAGAGGACCGCCGGGTAGGCGGGGCTGGGAGTGCGGGGAGCGGTAGCTGTGTCCGACCCGCCGTGCCCGCCGGAGGGTGGTGTGGCCGAGGGCGGGCGGCCGCGGCTGTCCCACCCATGGCCGGGCAAGGCTGGTGTCTGGCGGCGGCGTCAGTTAAATCATCAGCGAGATCAGATTGATCGCCGCTATTATTGCCAAACGTCGGGTGGACGCGTTCGACGGCTTTAGAAATGGAGTGACATGCCCGGGCAAACAACCGCGCGGTTCGGCCGCCCATACAGGCGGCACAGTCCGGGCAGACACGTGGGTGCGCGCTGGTTGGTGGCGGGGGGCGGCCGTATCTGGTTCTGTCTGCGCAGTCTGCAGTGGGTGTTGTGCGAGGGCTGCGACCCCTAACCCGGTCTGCCGGCACAGCCCCGCACGGACCGGACTCGGGGTTTGGGGATTCTCTTCAGCTCCACCCCCGTGAACCAGCCGTCCCTGTTGCACAACCACTTTTCCATGCAAGACATGCACACTGTATTGGTTTTCTTTTATAGTTTAGAGTGGTACTGGAGTTCCCGGAGTTCTGCGAGAAGCAAGCAGTTGGGTTTGTTGATGCTCAACCAGTCCCTTCCAATTCGAGGTACTCTGCTTCCATGGTTATATGAAGTGGTGTCAGGTTGCCCAGGGGGGTTGTGGAGTCTCCCACATTGGAGATATTCAAGGCCCGCCTGGACAAGTTCCTGTGTGATGTACTCTAGGTTACCCTGCTCTTGCAGGGGGGTTGGACCAGATGATCTCTTGAGGTCCCTTCCAACCTTTGGGATTCTGTGATTCTGTGTCAAAAGCTGCACTGAAGTACTGACCACCAAGGCTGCTGGTCCTTTCCATGATGCTCCTTTCCAGCGCTGTCCTATTAACTCCAAGAATCCACAGCTGACAAAGAAAACAGCCAGCCTGCACCTAATGGCTCCTGCAGAGCTGCTGGGATACTTACCACAGAATCATAGAATGGTTTGGGTTGGAAAGGACCTTAAAGTTCATCTGGTTCCAACCTCCTGCCATGGGCAGGGGCACCTTCCACTAGACCAGGTTGCTCCAAGCACCATCCAGCCAGGCCTTGAACACTGCCAGGGATGTGGCAGCCACAGCTTCTCTGAGCAACCTGTGCCAATGCCCCACCACCCTCACAAGGAAGAACTTTTTTCTAAAGTCCAATCTAAATCTCTTTCAGTTTAAAGCCATTCTGCCTTGTCATGTCAAAACCCCCTTTCCAGATTTCTTGTCGGCCCCTTTAGGCACTGGAGCTGCTCTAAGGTCTCAAGACACCTTCTCTTCTCCAGGCTGAACAACCCAGCTCTCTCTTCCTGTCAGCAGAGCAGAGCTGCTCCAGCCCTTGGGGCATTTCTGTGGCCTCCTCTGGATTCACTCCAGCTCCCTCTTTGTGTTGTTGCCCCAGGGCTGAACACAGTGCTGCAGGTGGGGTCTCACAAGAGCAGAATGGAGGGAGAGAATCATCCCCCTTGACCTGCTGGTCGTGCTGGTTTTGATACAGCCCAGCAGCGCTTGGCTTCCTGAGCTGCAAGTGCTTCATGTGTTGTCACCAGTTTAAAATGCATTTGTCCCAATAAACCAGCATAATAATAGAACTTGTCAGACACAATGGTCATCAATTTGATATGTCCTCAATTCTATGTCAGTCATGTCCACAGAAGAGCTGCTGCACACAGTGGATACATGTCTTACAAGCTTGCCCACCTAATTCCTGTGAATTAACTTGTTTGTGAATTTCTCACTTGTTCCTATGCCACATGTATGTGATTTTTTTGCCAAGTTTATCCTCGACTAAGAATGTTAATGCCTATGAAGTTAAGGCAGCTGTTCAGTACAGAAATCCTACAGAATCAAACAAAACATAAATAATAGACATTCAATTTAATTTTCATACACTCTTTAATACATAAACTTCTAAGACTGCAGTGTTTTATAGTACAATAGTACAAGAAAGTTTTATCAGTAATTATGTTTTTAAATGCAATATAAAGAGGTTTCTTTATTTACTTTTTTCCTATGACTTCATCCATCTCATTTTACTGTCAGGTCAGGTGGGAGTTTTTTGTCCTAATAGCTTTTTAAATATAAAATTAGACTGATTGCGCTTGATCTTTTCATGTTCTCCTTTTCCTCTCTTGGGTTTGCGTTTCCCAGCATACTACCTTTAGGATTTCTGAGAGTTATGTTGCAAAACAATATGGTTTAGTTGTTAGTCTCAAAGTAACCTGGCTTACAGTGCATTTTATTTACACAAGGAGAAACAAATGTTAAGCAAACATCCAAATGATCCAAACATCCAAACATCTCTCCTGAGGAAAATTCAAATGAAAAAAGAGTTTTATAGAAAGTGGAAGCAAGGACAGGCGGCCTGGGAAGAGTACAGGGATGTTGTCTGGGAAGCTAGGGACCAGGTTAGGAAAGCTAAGGCCCAGTTAGAATTAAACTTGGCTAGGGATATTAAGGATAACAGGAAGGGATTCTACAGGTACATAGCAAATAAAAAACAGATTAGGGAGAACGTAGGCCCCCTCAGGAAGCTCTCGGGTGAACTAGCTACACAGGATTTGGAGAAGGCTGA